GCCTCCAGTGTTGTTGCTCCGCAACCACAGCCCCAAGCCCTGTTTCCGACAGTCCCGAACCTGCAGCCTAGTCCCTGAAAGCCTGGAACCCCTCCAGCCCCAAAGTAAGCCATGCAGGAGGCAAAAAAGTAAGCCTGTAGGCGTCAAATTCAATGGAGCCCAGGAGCCCCGGAGGCAAGCGCCCGCCACTAGCCTCCAGATTTTTCCAGCGCTGGCGATGCCGGGAAGCCCAGGGAGCCGGCCAGCAAGCCTGGTATCATAGCTATTATATACCCATTATATAGCCGTCGCCGTTAAGGATCCCTCCTTTTCCCCTTTGAGTTAAGGGCATTGGTGTCCATTCCTCTCATAGCTTCCGCGTTGGGGATTTGGAGTCCCTTCTATTGTTCCTCTCATACAGTAGTTCCGTTGGGAGTTTTCGGAACCTCCGGACGTTCATCTTGAGGCCGTGGCATAGCAGCTGAAGAAGCTGGAGCGATGCCAGGACAGAACAGCGGCCGGTAGGAGCCGGAGGTGCTTGGGTAGCTTAAGCTAGAGAACTAGGTGGAGAATGATTTGGGAAAGCTGTTTGATTGTGTGAGTTTGCAGCTCCCTTCTGCAGAGTCTTGAAGTCTGCAAGAGCTTTGCAATCCGTGGGTTGATATGCCCGCGCGGTGCTTCTCTGATACCCTCCGTCCGTCCATGCCACTCCGAATCTGTTCGATGCCATGGCAGGTCAGAACTTCAGCAAGGCCGTGACCTACGCCATTTCCGTTGTCTTGGCTTTGCGTTCGAGGAGGACTGCCATTTTTCGGGCTGACCACCTTTCCTTGCTTGAAAAGTTCTCGAAAATAGGGGACCCTAATATAGTACCCTAAGTAGTAGAATCCTTATTATAAGGACCCCAAAATAAGGTGGCCCCGGGACTTCGGGAGCAATTTTGCAGCATAGTTCAGGGCTGTTCTCCGGGTTAGTCAGATTTGCATTTGCTCAATCTCGATTTCTGGGAGTTTCCGAAAATTTGGGGTACCGTATTTTGGGTCCTTATAATAAGGATCCTACTAAAAATCTGGGAGTTTCAGAAAATTAGGGGTACCTTCTTTTGGGGACCTTATAATAAGGATCCTACTAATAAGGGTACCAGATTAGGGTTCCCCGATTTTTTCAAAAAATAGGGTACCCTAATATAGTAGCCCTAAATAGTAGGATCCTATAAGGACCCCAAAATAAGGTACCCCTATTTTCGGAAAGTCCCATTTCTGGAGCGGTTTCTGGATCGTCGTCCAGGCATCCTGGCCTCTCCTTCCAAGATCCTTGAAGATCGGAAAGAGACTCCAAGGCTACTACAAGGGTACTATGGCATGACAAGGGTAACCTGAGCGCGTGGCCTCTATCTTTTCGGGGTGAGGCTTGCACTGCGCGTTTTTTGCTTCCAGATGTGGATGTGTGTCTTCCGTTGCCCCAAAGGAAATTGCTGGCATCTCTTGATCTCTGGTGCAAGGTTCTGTTTCCAAGCTCGGTGTCGGCATTCGAAGATGTTAGGCTTACTCGAAGCCTTCCGACTTGGCCGAAGCTTCGGCAGAGTTTCGAGATTCATGCCCGGACACTGTTCGCATTGCGCTGCCTGCTCTGAGCCGGGGGTGCGCTTTGGCCACCTTTTTGATTATTTAGCTGTTGCCAGGAAATACCAGATATAGAACGTCATAAATTTAGGCCTTGGGGTTTCAGGGCTTCGGGTCCAAACTAGACCACAATTGCGTCGCGAAAGGACTCTCACAGCCCTTCTTGGAAGGGCTTGTCAGTGACTCTGTTTGCGAAGTGGTACTATCAAGCACGAGTCAAGCGAGTTGAGACGACCGCACCCCTGATACCACGAACTTCGGAAGCTTCCGCATCGGGGGCTCTCTCGATCGGGAGGTTCAGAGGACTTCTACAAACACACGAGCGACGGCGTGGGGATCATTGACGGTAGGCTCATGCCGTAAGGCTGCTCTGCTTTGCGAGCTGCAGGTATTTTTCTTTGAAGTTTGAAGCAAGCATGTTAGTATTGTATCAGTTAGCAGATGTCAGAGGACGGTTGCAGTAACAACTCAGAGGGTTTAGTGCAGCCTCTGCAAGACATCCAGGATCACGTAGTGCGGTCTTGGGAGAGCAGAGGCTTAAGGATCCCCGCTTAAGGATCCCCCCAGTAACCCCTGTAATAAATATACTGGAAACTCCAGCAGTGTCTTTTCTTTTCCATAATAATGGAAAGGACAACTTGAAACTCTGGGCTGAACTGTAACGTTTTGTTGCGGTGCAAGTTGAGGCAACGAGGTCATTCGTCTCCTAAGAGCATGGCCAAGAGTGGTTTTTGATTACTTGGATTTGTGTCAGGTCGAGAATGACATGGTTTGGTTCCTATACGATATTATACTATATAGTGATGTTACTTGCAGAGGTAGGGTTCTGATCTGCAGGAATATCCGAGGCTTACATTCGCTCATATGTTGGCAGTATTATGCGGATCTATACTTCGCAGTGTTCAGGTGTCAGACGCACGTGTAAAACCGTCAGCGTTTGGGTGTAGTCATAGTCGGTGACAGAGTCTGTGAGTGACTGTCTGGGTACCCAGAGACTCCAATATCCCTTAATTAAGGAATACTCCTTAAATTATAGTAGGATCCCTAACATGATTTAAGGTATATTCCCTAATTAAGGGATATTGGAGTCTCTGGGTAGCCTGCCACTTCTCGACACTGGGGGGTTTCCGACAATGGGGGACCCTGAACTAGTACCCTCAATAGTAGGATCCTTATTATAAGGACCCCAAAATAAGGTACCCCTAATTTTCAGAAACTCCCACTGATCGCGGGGCGGCCCTTGAGAGTTGCTACTTCTTGCGCGGAATCCTGATGTCTCACAGTTCTCAACTCTCAATGGCTCAAGAGTCCTGTAATAGAATTCCCAGCCTTTCATTTGAAGTCGAAGAACGGCAGCAATGATCTTCCGATCACCTTGGAACTGCATCAAGACGCAGCAAGCGAAACCGAAGCCCGTGTGCAAGGGTCGCTGACGCTCCGAATTCGCAGCCGATATCTATATGTGAAATATACATATATATATATATACACACACATATATATATATATATATATATATACAGACACATGAATATGCGTGTATCTGTATGTATGATAAATTAAAATATTATACACATAATATCAGAAAATGTAATGGTATGATATAATATAATGTAATATACTATCACATAAGATATTACTAGACTAAGGTATATTATACATGTATATATATACATGCATATGTATAGATATATATATATATATATATATATATATACATATGCATATATATATAATATGATATATGTGTATATACATTTGTATATGTATGTATGTATGTAAGTATGTATGTAAGTATGTATGCATGTGCTATTCCCCACCCCCTCATGTGCCCACGTCTTGTGCTTGAATCGTTTGCGAAAGCTCACTTAAGCCAGTTACTTTACTTGTCGGGTAGCAGAATTGCGCAATGATGGCAATTTTTGTATATATATATATATATATATTTATATACAGAAGTACAAACGAATAAGTCTACATATATATATATATATATATGTATATATATATATATATACATATACACACACATATACATATATATATATATATGTATATATGCTATTTATTGCTTGTAGCGAAGCTTGCGAGCGACATGCTGAAGCTTTATCGGCTTATGTTCCGGGCTGCCCTTCCGGACGTTCTTCGGGAGTTTCGATTGTTGCGTGCTTCGAACACTCCTCTTCGAGCCCAATCTTTCCCTGGCTGTTCCTGAGCCTCTGTTGCCTGATCTTTGGTTGGATGTTGCTTGGGTAGCCTTGTCACTGGGATTGGGCTCTGATTGTCCTCTCAGTGCTGCTCTGCCTTGGCTTAGCTCACCTGTTGGCCTGGGTTTTGGCTCCTCCAGGACCCCCTGCAGCCTGCTGGGCCGACTTCGTGAATACCGGGAGCAGTGAATGCCGGAGTCGCTTCTTCGTGCCGCCTTTGTCTGTAGAGAGTACTAGTAAACTAGTACACTTTCAAGGTCAGCGAACCCCGCTGTCGTCCCAATGCTACAGGGCACGAGTTTGATAGCTCTGAGCTTAATGGGCTTAGTGATGCTTAGTGCCTATTCAGAAGCTGAGCATGGTTGGCCGGTTGGCTTATGTCTCAGAGCGGAGATCTCCGATATCTTTGAGCTGTCTTGTCATTGTCATACTAGTCATACTACTGATGAGCAGAGCTCCCAGCAGCTCGGAGGTCACTTGGATGTTGGCTGTGGCCGTGCCAAGGTTGGAACCTGATGAAGCTATCGCTCCAGACCGCGTGCCAAGGACTTAGAAGTTGTTGGGCCGACATATCTCATTTAACTGTGCCATGGTTGGGTAACATTTTACATGTTTATGGGTACTTAAACCCACTATGGAATGCAAATGTAAATTCTTAATACTATCCCAACCAAGAACTAGTTAATACTCAACTTGCGCAGGAACCGTCAGCTTCCTTATGAAGAGGACTATTGGCCAACCCGGATCTTCAAGCAGTTGCCAGTTGCAGACAGTCACTTTGGGTTTGGATAGGGTCCGTGGGCTGAGATCGGATGTCTCTGATGCTGAGAGAACGGCTTGGATATCGAAGTAACGCCCAGGAAATAACCTTCTAAATGGACCTCAGACACATGCAAATGAATCATGAGGCTGAAGAGAGCTTGGTCGTGCACATATCAGGTGCCACGGTCGGCACGAGAAGATTTTCTCCACAAAAAGAGTACGGCGAGTACGGTGGACACAGCCAGCAGCACATCAGGGCAGAATCAAGCCGAGGCATTGGAGCCTTTTAGGGCGTGCGCAGCACGAGACGGCTGGTGCGGCGAAAGGGTGAAGTAGTTGTTGAGCAGGCAGGCAATTCAGCCTGTCCTGAGCCACTTGGCAGGGGACAGCCCCCTGGTATTTGCCTCAACCTCTCATTCACGGCTGTGAGGTCGATCCTTCCTTGGTTGTGGCCTTATTGCGCGGTGCTACGGCCACGTTTGCACAGCACGTGCTTGAACCCAACCAAGATAGTCGCCGGCACTGACCCTGGCGCCAGGTCGCTGATTTTGTTGTCCTTGCATGCGGCTCTGAAGCAGCTGTCGACTATCCAGGCCATCCCAACGCTTTGGCTCTCCGTGGGATTCTGCCGATGCCTTGTTTCTGCAGGATTTCGCGGACAGCTTGCCGGAGCTCGTGAAATTGAAGAGGCAGAACTTCTTCAGAACAGCCTGTGCCGGCTCTAGCTATCATTTCAAGCTGGCAGGCCATTTCCGTCGATGGTGGCCCGTGATCGTGAACAAACCTTGCAGCTTCCAGATGAAATCGCGCAGACACAAGACAAGAGCATGGAGCCAAGTGTGCCATTCCAGCACGGTGGTGAACTGTTGCATCTGATGCTCGAGTTGAAATGCAGTCTGAGCTGAGGCCTCAGGTGTATTTGGGAGGGTCTGTATGCCTGGATGGATGACGACGTTGTCGTGCACCTGGCGTCGCGCTTGCGACCGTACTGCATGCATGACGACAGGAATGTGGCACAACATGCTCGACACTTGAGTTGCAATTTCGCTCAGTGCTTGTGCAGAGCATCCAGCAAACGCCGAAGACATGCTTTTGCTAAAGACATCGCATACTGGCTTGAGCACGGGACCCTCCCGGACCAAATACGAGCTTGCCAAGAACTACAGGAGATGTTCATTGCTGGACGCGGGTTGGGCCGATTTGAAGCGAAGCTCCTGTGAAAGGTTGTGTTGCAGCACCTTGGCACCGACTCAGATGAAGACGACGCGACGGTGTGTTTGATGTCCTTCACGCTTTTTCTTGACCAGCGCCCGAATCCGCCAGCACCATGTAGCACTTCAACGGTGGGTCCAAAGTTCGCCATCAGTGCCATCGGATGACGACTGTGACCTTCAGTTTCAATGGTTCAAAACAAGATCTACAACCGAGACTGGGCCGCACTTGCTGAAGGCTTCCTGTTGACAAAATGTCAGCTTACAGTAGAAGCCAAAAAGTTGGAAACCCTATAGCCTCAATCCCTAAGAGTAAAGTATAGGGAATCCCAGCACTGTTTGTCCTTAATTAGGTTTCCAACTTTTTGGAGTTTGCTGTAGTCTTTGGCACCAGCTGTCGCGTCCAAGGCATCCGAGGCCTCGGAGACATTTTTGAGTAGTTTTCCGTAGAAGTCGTACCATCTTCGTGATCGGCTCCTTCAAGTCCCCTATGCTGGCGCTTGGGTAGACCGCCTCTTCCTCATGACCTCCTTCTTGCACGATGATTGGCTGCGCACGCGCCGACTTGAGCTGTGATTGCGCTCAGCGGACTTATGGGAGTCATCAGAGTGTGTTAACGTCTTGCTGAATGATGTCTTGGAAGCCAACCCGGCTTTCTTCAATGCCTTTGTCGCTCAAGGGCTTGGGCGGAGCACGGAGCAGAAGGCGACCACGTGAAACCACCAGGAAGGGAGCGGATCACGGCTGCACTTTGCTTTCCAACCGGTGCACTTGCGTGCTCCAACGAGCGTTGCAGCACATCATGCCCATGAGGACAGCATGGATCCCTCGCAGAAGTGTATTTGGCCTGAGTGGAGTTCTTTTCACTGTTTGGGTCCGCCGCAAAGTCAGAGCTCAGTGGCTTCTACCAGGCTTCTACCAGACGGTTGCATTGTCCTACATCCATCTGCATCCACACTTCTCCTTAAGACACAGCCGCTGCCCTCGCCTCAACCCGAGAAAGACAACTGGGACACATGCAAGAAGTGGCACCCTCCGTCTACTGAGCATGTCATGTATCTGGGTGTACAACTGCAGCAATACCGAGTTTTTTGTTCAGCATCTCTAAAAACGGCGTTGGTGAGCAGCAGCAGAAGTTCATCTGGATTCCGAGCCATGTCGTGCTTCAGTGGCCTCTGGAACTGCTTCTGGGGTCAGGCCATGCTTGATGCGACATTGTGCTGACTTGCGGAAGTCGGCGCTCGCCTGTGCTTTGCTAGGACCGTGATCGCTCAGACCCCGAGGTGGGGAGAGCTTGAGCATGTTTAAGAAGTCGGGAGGGGCCTATCCACAACGCGGAGTGCTGTTTTGCAGGTGATCGATTGGCAGGCTGACCTTCGCGGCGAGGTGGCGGCCTAAAATGTTCGAAGCACCTTTTGACGGCGAGTCAGCTCCATGTTCAAACAACATTTTTTCAAGAGACTTTGGCATGCTGGGAGGGTGTAAAGGCGCCTCGGACGATGAAGCGCACACCCGAACATGTGCACACCTGTAAGCTACGGACACATTTCAGTTGCTTTGGTTGGAGTTAAGAAATGGGCCAAAGAAATGACATGCGCGGCAAGATTGACTGCTGCTGTACCGTATTCCAAAGTTTCCCCCCCTGCAGCCACCCTGAGAGTTAGTGAAAGAACGAAGGTCCAATGATTCAGCAGTCTCCATCATCAAGCATAATAATTAGCCTCAGCCATGGAGCGAGAAAGTTTGGGCCGTGAGGTTGTACTTGTTCGTGCTTGTTTCAAGTTCTCGCAACTCGTATAGTGTTGTTTCCAGCGTGCAAAGTCGAATTTGGCTGCGCGCGGACTGCGGCACCAGTTGGTGCGCGACAACTGCTAGCACTTGATTGTGCGAACCTCATCGTGACGATGCAAGGAGGTATCAAGCTGTTGGGAATGCTATCCAATGTATATAATCAAGAACTCAAAGCCAGAGGGGCGCACGCAGAACGGGGTCAACGCAAGCGCAGCAAGACGTTTCTGTCCAGCATGCTTGATGCGGGTTCCTGCCCGCCTTGCGAGGTGTGCAGAGTGCTTCTCCGAGTTCGTCTCTTGCGGACCTTAGGATGATGCAGTTCCACTCAACTCCGACCTGCCCGGAGCTCCAAAGCCTGTGATAGTGATGTATATTATGGTGATGATGATGACGAAGATGGTGGTCATAATCCCCATCCGCACCCTCCTCCGGTCCCTTGCTCAAGAGTCCCGAATGAAACTCATTCAAAGACGTGCTCAAGTTTACTTTTGACGAACATAACCGAAATTTGGCTTGGAATGACAAAAGGCGAGAGGCCTGGCTTGGGGTGGAATACCGTGGGGAACTTACGCGGATGACGTGTGACTGTTTGCCGGTCGAGAGGCCTGGCTTGGGGGGGGGGGGGGGGGCAGACCATTGGGGGTGGGCCATTTCCGGTCTGCACAGATCGTTGCTGAGCATCCGTGAAGGAACAGTTTGGACCAGCGTGCTTGCAAGGGAGGGAGAGAGAGAGAGAGAGAGAGAGAGCTGAATATCCTGAATCCGATCTGCTGTACAAGCCAGCAGTTATATCAATCATATCGAGAAGCTCGTTTTAGGGTGAGCCAACAACGTCATCGGTTACCAGACTTCACGTAAGCATAATAATGAAAACAACATGAGTCACAACATCACATGGCACATCATCTGGAACTTAAAGCAATGTCCCGAATGTGGACACCGCGAAAGGCTCACTCACGCAGCGTAAAGCCGTGCCGGGTTGGCGTTAGCATTGGCTGATGCTATTTCAGGGCCTCCGTACGCGCATGCTGCTTGAGGTGGAAGTGAGGCTCAACCTCTACGCTCTTGTCTGGCTGCCGAACTGTGTGTCAGGGCCACAAGCATGCAGGATTACTTGTTGAACTGCGGGAGCTTCAGAGCTTGTGAGGCTTGAGCCGTTGGGTTATGGCGGGTACCACGCTGAGGTGGAGGCAGATTGGAACCCACGTTCGCTGTCATCCTGCGTCAATTTTGGCCAATGGCCTCAGGTGGGCGGGCGGGAGTACTGGTACGAGTGCGACGACGCCACCGGTGTGTGGTCTTGCGCGCTTGCCCGGCATGGAGAGTTGTCACAGCTCCGGGCAGTCGGGCAGTCCGATCCTGGCCCATACCATCTCCGCCAGGGTTGGCCGACGTCGCAAGTTTGCACCGACTCACACCTTCGTTTACAAGACTCGGCTCAGACGTGGTGAGGCGATTGTGAGCATTAGTGAGCCATCCCGTGATGTTATCATTTCCCTGTGTCAGTTCGCAAAAATATTGGTGCGCTTAGCCTCTGAATGGTCGGGAGCCCAAACAGCATCTGTTCGCCGGTGCTAGATGCTTATCCTTAGGCGCGGCGAAGATTACTGCATCCTGCGGCCAGTGTCCCACCGACCTCTGTTCGCTTTGAAGTCGTGCCACTGCCACCTTTTTGGCAATGTTGAATTAAGCCTTAGGCGCAACTGCATCGACTTCAGCGCGGCATTTTGCCAGGAGTTGGGTGCTTGAAGCTTAGTTTCCCCACGGGTGCATACGCTTACAAATCTAAATCTGCTGATAGCAACAAGTTGAGACGAGGTTGGCCCGTTCCCTTCTTGGGTCACGGCCAGAGCTTGGACGTGTACCAATGTGTGTAATTCTGCTGCTCCGTTTGTTGCAAGTGGTACGACTCAGGCTTTCACCCTGCCGAAAGCGCTGGTCGAAGCCGCCGAGGTGGCTTTTACTTGTACAAAAGAGGTGTGAGGCCGAAAGTACTGAATGACGCATGTTGCGCAAGGCTTGGAAGCAGCGCCACGGCAGGGACTTGATAGGCTGGGGCACTGATTGGGATCGTCGATTTGTGCTATCGTAGCATGTTGGACTTTTGAGCAAACATAATGCGTGGGATGTAAGCTGGACGCTTCATTGACCAATTACACACGATTTGAGGCTCTTGCGACGTGCTAGCTACGCGACACAGCATCAGTTCTTTTCCCCCGCCCCATACCCAGTATGCAAGCATATTTTGGTTTACAAAGCAACAGTTTGGGTGGAGTCGTGATTACCATTTATGTTACACATAGCGGCAGAGATCTGCACACGTTGCTTGATCAAGTTGGACAGCTGTTTTAGTTGCCGTCCCAGCACAAGCACAAAGAAAGCTCGGGTTGATGCCAAATTTGCAACCCTTAGACTTAAACAGAAAAGTTCTCCTTGCATACATGGCGAAACTGTGCAACACATGCATCCTCCCACTCTGAGAAGACATTTGGCATATCATGACTTCGGCATGTGGCGAACAGGCCCAGATCCAAACGTACGAGCCCGCCGACGCCGCCCGATGCCCAGCCCAGGGCGGTTTTAGCGATGCATCCGAGTTGCCCCTGTGATGCTCACCGAAGACTCATGGTTCACCTCGAAACACAATTCAAGAGGGAACGTCTGGGGTTCTCAGAGCGGACTAGGCAGTTGACATGCAGCCTAAGTACTTGGAGTACACGTGTTCTGGGAAGGAGAAATACGGCACAAATCATGCAGGCTGAAAGCGTAATTTTTCCGTGCGATCTTTCCTTACTGTCGGGATTTGCAACGTGGGATTATTAGGCTAGCCTTGTTTTGTAGCGTGTCGCCGGGACGCTCGCTTGGCGAATATCTGAATATCCTTCAGCATGTTCTCCACAACACTCTTGAGGTTGGGAGAAGGCGGACTGAGGCGCAGCAACCTCAGCGTAACACTGCTTTTCATCGGCATTTCACCAGTCATCAGCAGGTCTGTAATCGTGCGTGTGAGACTCTGCTGAGGGCTCTCCTTGCTGGAGTCCCAGAGGTTGCGATGTTGACACTCGGTTCATCAACTAGCCCAGCATGATTTGCGCAGCTTGTCAAAAGGTTCCTAACCCTGCTCGTTATGGTCGAGGACCTGCACCGCGATGATGTACATTCAGTAGCAGAGCAAAAATCTGGTCTGGCAGGAGATTAAAGTGCAGAGCTCCCGAGAG